GCTCAAGACCCCATAGAGGGCCAGACTGATATCCTTCTGTATAAAAATACATTAGTCTGGAAACTAAGGTTTCAAAAAATATGACTCCAAAATATGTATCCAAAATTGTACTCTAGAACTGTTTGGATGTAGCAAAACTGATTTATAATTTTATTTAAATATAATGTATGTAATTGGACTCACAAAACAAAATAATAAATAATATAAATAATAAATGATAAATAATGCACAAAATCTGGTATTATCAAAAGAGAAACACTAAAACTAAACCGTATGTGAAGGAGCGGTGCAGGAAACACAAATGTTCAGATCATCTCATATTGTCACATAAATCTTATATCACTTTAGACTTTGTGTCACCAAAACTTTTACTCAAGTAAGAGTACACTGTACAATATATTACTCAAATCGGAGTACTGCTTTTTTTAAACTAAACTGTTTTAGATGAATTTGCAAAAATCCAGAGGTGGACAGTACTCAGTTACAGTTACCTTATTTTACCAGTAGTTTAAACTTTTACACTTTTCAGAATAGTACTGAAGTAACAGTACTCTTACTTGAGTAAAAGTTGTGCTTCCTCTTCCCACTGTGAGTAAGTCTACAAGTGACAAAAGCTTCATGTTGACAATATGAAATGATTTGAACATTTGTGTTTCTTGCACCGCTCCTTCAAATATGATTTAGTTTGTTTCATGTTTGTGTCTATATCAATACCAAATGTTGCGTATTATTTAAAGCTGCATTGTGAAACTTTTCTGGTGGAAGGTCTGTCAAATCCTTTTCTCCAAGGAGATGTTATTCCTTTGTCTGGAATGTTTCACAGTATGACATTAAACCTTTCTATCTTCATGGAAACCACTTGTAATGAAATAAATGTAAAGTAGCTGTTTAATGTCATACTGTGGAACATTCCAGGCAGAGCAATGACATCTCCATAAAAAAAAAACAAGCAGGTGACAGACCCAACCAAAAAGTTACATCGTGCACCTTTAAGTTACTCTTACTTGAGTACTTTCTTAGACCACTACTTTTTACTTCCAACATTATTTTGAAGTAACGTTCTTGCCTAACTTCTTCTTGTAAAGTTGGGATTTATGTGGGAATCCTTCAGGAACAGCCCATTTCAAGTCCCCAGATGCTCATTTTCTTCTGTAACTCCATGTAACCGTGACTCAGATCCGAGCACAGAGCCTGGGAGCCGTTTTGGATCTGACGGCTCCTCAATCGCACCTGAACACATGAGGTTTGGAGCAGATAAAGCACTTGTTCAAACACGCGCCCTCTTCTGTATGGCTCCTCTTTGAACTAAAAGGGGAGGGTTTGTTTTTTTTTAACTCAAGATAGATACTGCAACAAGACATGAATGGTGAGAAAAACCCAAGAAAAAAGTAAATGATTCTGAAGTAAATATTAAAGGTGCACTGTGTAGCTTTTCTGTAATTATATGTTACCAGCCAGAACTACACACTTTGACAAAACTTGACAAACATGAGTGAATATGGAGCTGTGTCCTGTCTTCCTAATTTCAGAGGGCGTGATTGACAGGTGGATTAACCAATCAGAGACATGCATGCTATGTTTGCGTCAAAAACACCACGGCTGCTTACATGTAAAAAAGGAGAAAAATTGACATGAAGAACCAAGAAACAGAGTGGATTTTTACAGAATTAACAATCGAAACACCAAACTATGACTTATTTCAGGTTAAGAAAGTTATATATTTTGTTCTGAATGGAGATGTCTTCCACATTTGAGGGACACGTGAGACAAATTACTGGCTTTGGTTGGATCATCTAAAATTTGGACATAGATTTTTCACGCTCTGTGGTCCAGTTACAGACTCTTCTGGATTCGAACAGAATGTAAAAGGGACTGGCTGCTCAGGCAAGTAACTTTGGACCAAGAATGAATAAAACAAGAATGAATTTTACGTCATCTGGCTTGTCAAGTTGTTGTGTACAGTTTTGTATCATGTTTTAGAGAATTCTTGTGTGGGAGTATGGGTGGACTTGTGGGCAGAGTCTAACCGTAAGAAGGGTTCGAATAGGGTTCAGGACAGATCGCTACATTACTCAAACATGCATCGATGACATCTAAAACCTCTTTAGGCATGTTTTGATGAGGGAACAACTTTATCACAAGGTAGAAAGCTCCAAAAAGTCAATTTTGCATAATATCTTTAACGGTGCATTGTGTAATTTTTCTGTTGGGTCCACCAAATGCTTTTCTCCATGGAGATGTTATTACTTTGTCTGGAATGTTTCAAAATAAAGCATTAAACATTTCTATCTTCATGGAGACCAAACCAGACAATGTTACAGGTCAGATCTGTGGAGAGGCGACCCCGCTCACAGTCAGAATGTCTGTTTTTTAGGCATTTTTGAGCTATAAATCCAGCAATTGAATAAATGTAAAGTAGAGCTGCCCCAAACAAAAAGTTACACAGTGCAACTTTAAGTGATTAACAGTTAACAGTAAACATTATCAATAAATTAATGGATCAGGAACACACATTTACACACATAATACAGGGACAGAGTTATAAAAGCTCTTACATAAAGTCCCACAGCTCTTCTTGAGTGTGCTACAGTGAAGCGTGTGTGCAGCATTAGCATTAGCGCCGCAGACACACAAATCATCCGCACAGACGCTAGTATAGACGCTAGCACACACTTACATCCACTCATTTATACAGCCTGTCCGCCTCCCCCAGAATCCCCATGCCTGCTGGGAGATTTCACTCGGAGGGGAGAGGAGGAAATGACTTGTTTTAATTTATTTGGCTATCTTACATATGTTTATATATAACTGTTTCTTGAGTAATATTTTCAGTTGAGTTTAAAAGTTGAAATAAAAAAAAGCTTTGTTTATAAGTTGTATGTATGAAAGTTTTGGATACTCTTTGTTCCCTCTACTTCTACTACTTCTATTTTGGCTGCTTGCAGTAATGATGCTCCTACTACTACTTGTATTCCTACTAGTACTAGTGCTACTACAAGAGCAACTACTACTTTTATATTACAGCTGCTGCTACTCCTCCCACTACCACCATTACTACTACCACTACTACTACTACTATTACTATTGCTGCTACTACTACTAGTACTACTTCTACTACGATTTTTACTACTACTACTACTACTACTACTACTACTACTACTTATTACTACTACTACTGCTACTCCCACTACTACTACTATTACTATTGCTGCTATTGCTACTTCTACTACTACTACTACTACTACTACTACTACTACTACTACTACTTACTACTACTACTACTACTTACTACTTGCTGCTACTACTACTTCCTACTACTACTACTACTACTACTACTACTATACTACTTCTGCTACTACTACTTCTACTACTACTACTACTACTACTATTACTACTACTACTACTACTACTACTACTACTACTACTACTACTACTACTGCTACTACTACTACTACTACTACTACTGCTGCTACTACTACTCTAAACGAGATCAAAGTTTTCACTGGGAAAGTACATATTTATTTCACTTTAATATACGATTTTTTATATTTTGTATATTTTTGGAAATACCAGAATTTTCACATTAGATTGTGCATTGTTTAAATCTATTCTGCATTTTTCTTGAGTTTTCAGACAATCTTAAAACTTTTTTGACAATGTTTGCTAATGTGTACATTGTGTCACCTTGGTAACTGCTGTATCAAGTGACTACATTGTACTTTGACATGAAATATCCTAAACGTAAATACACAAATGTTGAAGCTGATCATTTCTATTTTTAAGTAAACCCATGAACTGTATCACAACAAAAATCTGCATTTTGACAATATTAATTTTACCTGCCCCCATCTGAATGAAATAATATTGGTCTATAGAATGATCTGAAACTCAATAACTGTGGATGTGTGTTAGACTGATGGATGAAACCAGAGGAAGCCCAAGCATACAAGAATTACAAAATAAACATTTCTTATTCATGGACTAAAACTACATTGCTTTTATTTTTCATTGCTTAGTCATAACATAAGCTCTTACCAGTCTTACCAGCTCATCAAAACAATAATTACTGCTATTTATAGAAGAAATACAATTAATATTATGCAGAACTGAGTGAACCATTTTGGCCCGGCCCTCCACAATATTTTTTGTTTCTCACGTGGCCCCATATAAAGCATAATTGCCCACTCCTGTTATAAACAAAGTAAACTAAAGCCAAGCCAAACCCAGCGTTAGTGTGATTAATGTGATCAGTGTCAGAGAGTCACGGCCACACTCTGAAACATGAGCTGATAAAAAACTCCTCCATCTTTGGTTCACACCTGGATCTGTTTGTTCTCCAAATACAGAAGTAGATCAGGTCACGGTAAACCAGGACTAAAAAGGGACTAAACCAGGTCTAAACCAGGATTAAACCAGGTCTAAACCAGGACTAAACCAGGTCTAAACCAGACCTAAACCAGGATTAAACCAGGACTTGAACTAGGACTAAACCAGGAACTAAAGCAGGACTAAACCAGATGTAAAACAGGACTGAACTAGGACTAAGCCAGGTCTATACCAGAACTAAAACAGAATTAAACCAGGACTAAACCAGGACTGAACCAAGACTAAAAAAAGGATTAACACAGGACTAAACCAGGTCTAAACCAGGATTAAACCAGAACTAAACCAGGTCTAAACTAGGATTAAACCAGGACTAAACCAAGTCTAAACAGGACTGAACTAGGACTAAACCAGGACTAAACCAAGACTAAACCAAGACTAAACCAGGACTAAACCAGGACTGAACAAAGACTAAAACAGGACTAAAACAGACTGAATCAAGACTAAAACAGGACTGAACGAGGACTGAAACAGGACTAAACCAGGTCTAAACCAGGACTAAAACAGACTTAAACCAGGACTAAAACTGGACTAAGCCAGGACCTAAAACAGAGATGTCAACAATAAATGATAAGGACCCATATTGAAAATAAATAAATAAAGTCTTCCATTTCAGAACATTTTATTACAAAGTTTAGGTGCTCACAGAATCAAGACAAACCAACACTTTATCAACACAGACAGGGATACAAAGGTTAGCTGTGAAAAAATTGAAGGCATACTACTACTTCTACTACTACTACTACTGCTGACCTGTGACCTAAACATATAGTTAACTTATGAATAAATTAGTGTCACAATACTAAAATTTCAAACTCAATTTTGATACCAAGGAATAGACTCAATTCACAATACACTTCTGATACCATAATGATAATAAAAAGAAAAAAAATTGAATGTTATTTTCAACATTAAATCGTAATAATTTCTTTTCTATTACCATCTACTTTCAGTACTAGTTTTAGTATCGATTGGTATCTGATTTTCAATACTTTAAACAACCCTACAATAAATTAACAAATATTTCTGCATATTTTTTATTTCATACATGTTTGCCTTCATTTTTTCACAGCGTAGTCTTCATACACAGCCTGTGTTCACTCTGCTCGCTGCATTTAGTGGTAATTTCATTTCATTAAAACAAAACTGTATTGTACATTGTTGCTGTGTAAAGCGTCTATTTTAATTAAACATTTCTTGCATAAAAGACCCTGACTATTTTATTCCAAACAATTTAAAGCTTCACTATGTAACTTTTACGTCTGTCTAGATATTATTGCTTTGCCCAGAGTGTCCCACAGTATGGCATTAAACTTATCTAATGGAGACAAGTTACAGGTCAGATCTTTGGAGAAGTGACCCGGCTCACAATAAAAACACCTGTAACTGAATAAATGCAAGACAAATAAATGTAATGCCATACTGTGTAACATTGCAGGTAAAGCAATCAAATCTGCAAGTTACATAGTGTACTTTTTTTTTTTTTTTTAAGTTTTTTTTTTATTATCCATTTTAATAAAAAAAAAAAAAAAAAAGCAAAACATAATTATCTTTCAATACAAAAAGAACTTTCAAGGTACCATCAAACTCAACTTCTCAAGCACCAAAATCGCAAATAAATGTACAAATCCAAATTTAAAAACAGAAATTTAGTGGTTTTATATATAAAAACATCTCAACATTTTTTCATTTACACTTACATTCAGAAACAAAATCACAGCAATAACATTAACAACGCTTTCTTGTAGTGTCTAAATGATTAGCTCTAGCGGTGTAGAGCTAGCCTTAAATCCAGAGTCTGTCACTTTGTTGTGTTAGCGGATTAGCTGGTTAGCATGTTAGCATGTTAGCGTGACTTATGGTGATTTAAACGGAACGTGACTTCACAGGTTTAACCGGAAAAACAGACAGAAATATTTAACCTAAACAAAAGTGTGACAGACACCAGAAGAAGAGAAGGAGGAGGCAGGTTTGAGCAACTCTTTTAGTAAACAACAAGTGAGAGTAAATACTGTTTATTGTGGCTGTTTCATGGTAGTTTCATTTTTCTTAGGGTGACCAGGTTTTCAAAATTAAAAAGTGGAATTCACCCAGGTTGGGATGGGTGGTATAAATAAAATTGTGATGAGATCGCGTGACATTGTCCATTCTTGACTCACTTATGGGTCAGTAGGCTAGCAGACTTGTTGACCTGGTTCATGATTAAGATTTCTGTAATTACTGGGCCTATCCACATGAAACAAAAACTGGCAAAAAGTTCAACTTCTTCTTGTGGAATTATATTTTCACTTTAGCCTCTTAGGGGGCGAGCCTATAATACCACAGCCTTATGTTCCTTCAGCTTTATGTTCCCTCATTTCTAAATTTTATTTTATTTTTTTCCCCCCAAAAAATTAGGCCATATGTTCCTGCATTTCATTTCCTTCCTATCATCAATTTGCATCAAATTTGATCCCCATTTCTTCTAATTTGTTAGTCCATTACACCCAATCTATTATCCAGCAGCAGTTGACTACAGATGTAATGCAGAGGTCATGGTGCAAAGGACCCTAGTTTGAAATGACTCGGAATCATCCCATAAAATAAAAATAAAAAATGACCTGAATTAGAGTTTAATTTTGAGAAAAATCTTCTAAATAAAAAAAATCTTAGAAATGATGGAACAGAGGGTTGTGGGAACACAGGACTGACCCCACCTCAGAAAGTGGTGCCATTTTTCAACCCTAAAGACGTGATTGTTATTAGATGAAAAGACTTTAATCCATACACTTAATATTACGCTTAATATTGTGGCATAGACTGACTTGACTTGACCGCCACGTTGCAAGTAGGAAGTGATCCTTCTGGTCAGAATTCCAAATATGGAACTCAACACCAAATTCGCTGTTATAACTGGCAGCCTCAATAAGCTTCATTTGACTGCAGCTGAATGCTATGGGTGACATCACACTCCCGTAGTTCATTTATTTACACAGTCTATGGTTTGTAAACAAAATTTTTTACAACATAATGATCAAGATGATTAAGTTCAACATCTGTGGATCTTAAATTTGGACAGTTCTTTCAAACGCTATGAAGCTACTACAGAGTTACATTACATAGGCCCCTGCAATCCATCTGCATTTCTTATGTTGTCCTCAAATTCTGAACACACCCTATTGAATGACATTGAGAAGCGCACACCTGCTCTCCTCCTCTCCTCCTCCTCTCCTCCCTCTCCCCTCGTTTCCTGCTCCTCCGTGTTTCAACAAAATCCACAACAAAAATACAACCCACTCTTTAAATCCACATCTTAAGTCATTTGTACAAAGCGTCCGAGTGGTCACAATCAATGAGATCAAATACATATTAATTATTAGAAAGTTTTTGTACAGCACGTTCATGGCACAAGTTAGATTCCACATTTTGGTTTTTTGCTTTGGTCTCCTTGCAGATTTCACAAGTTCACTATCATCCATATACATTCCCAAGTCTGAAATACTCAAAAAGTTCATTTTCATTTCACTCCAAAAAGGCAGCTGTGGTGAAGAAAACCAGTGGAAAATAGTTACTATGTTGGATTTGTGAATTTCTGGAAAATTCTCCAAAAACGTGTGTCCAAAATATTTAATTCCTTCAACAGAAATGAGAAAAATCATCACAGTCTTCTCCAGGTGATTGCACGTAATTGATGTATTTTTATTTGTTTTTTTTAATCAAAAACTTACAAGGAATTAAAACTGCTTCAAACTGTTCAGTGTCGTCCTCCTTAAAGTCTTATAAAAACGTCTTTCGAAAAAACATCGGTCCAGCCAATATCACCAAAAATCTCCAGAAAATGTTCAGAATTCAAAACTGTATTTCCCATTTGGTAGTTTGTAAATCCATCATTATTCCTGGATTATTTTAGAGGTCCAATCGGAACGCGCCGAAGTAGCTGGAAGAGTCATCGGCGTTGACCATATTTGGTGAGGAAACTGACACAAAGAGTTCATCTCCTGCTCTGAGCTCGAATAGTCCTCCTTGATAGACCGAGTGTAGAGCGTATTCAGCATCAGGGGCCCAGCACTTAGTCCCCACGCCTTTCAACAACTGAGAAAAGAGATAAAAGAGAAAACACATTAGAACACATTTTGAACATGTTTTGAACACATTTTGAACACATTTTAGAAGACATCTGAACACATTTTGAACAACAAAGCTACTTACAGATTCAAATTTGCCATACAGTTTTTTTTTTGGCATATCTTCTGAAACTTTTCATAAATTTGACAATTTGCTGAAGTATTCACTCAAGACTTTCTGAATCAAATTAAAATTTTTATGCACATTTTTGATAGGAATGTAAAAAATAACAGAAATATTGTCAAAAGGTCTCACAGTAATATCAAATTGTCTCTTCACTTAATAATTGAATAGTTATGTTACAAAAAAATTAAATAAATCAGTGCCGAATACATCAAGAAATAATTGTTATTAGCGCATTTAAATCTTAGTTCTTTGGGTTAAGTCTTGTCAAGGTATTTTAAGAGGGAAAAGTAGCATATTCACAGTTTAGCCACCACAAAATATTGCAATAAATATCGTACTGTGAGATGTATATTGTGAAAATATCGCACTGAGAGATTTCGATATCGTTACATCTCAAATTTCTGACCATGTGCATACAGAACCTTTATAATGAGCTTTTGGATTTGTGTGAAATTTAGGACCTTGTGTTAGAGCGAATGAAAATAATCTGTAAAAATGAACCATATTCATAAAGTTTTTATAAAGACATATTTATTACAGAAATGATTGCTGTCTGTTTTAGATTACCTCGCCTCAATTAATGAGTAATAGTAGTAGTAGCAGTAACAGCAGTAGTGCCAGTAGTAGCATTTGTAGTATTTGAAGTAATATCCAAAATACAATTCATAGTAGTATTCATAGTATTAGCTGTATGTGGCTGAGGATAGTAATAGTATTTGTAGTAGTAGTCCAATGAGGTTCATTTGGTGATCTTCCGACAATTTTAATAATGATAATAATGATAGTAAAGATAATGTTATAAGGTTCTTTTTTCATTTCGTTTCTGTATAAATCAGCAGACCGGACACGTCGCAGTAACATCACGTAACCACTCTAAGGAAAACCGCTAGTGAGCAGTCGAAACTATCAGGTATGATAAGAAACTCTTGGTCTGAAAAAAGAACCTAATAACATACAAGTATTTGTAGTAGTATTCATAGCAGTATTTGTAGTACCTGTATGGGGCTGGGGTAGGAGGTCTTCTTGTACACACACTGGACCAGCTGGTGGCTCACACTGCGCTGGTCGCCTTCACTGGAGGCTGGAGACGGATATCGGAAGTACACCTGAAAATACACAAGAGAGTATAAGTATAAAGTAAATCTTGAATACAAGTACAACAAGGTTATAAGAGAGTATGTGTGCGGTCCACATCTAATTACAGTATGAAGCTTTATACCATCCGCAAACCAGGAAGTAAGGCTGTTAGCATGCTAATCATGAAAAACACTTATAAACCCATTACTGTGAATAATTACGATGTTCAAAATGCATAAGGTCAGTGAGGAATAACTTTGGATCACTGCAAACTGACTAAAATAAACTAGTACAGTTTTGCATGCTTGCAATATTCATCTGCTCTATCTGTTGTGTATATATTGATAGTATTCTGTGTATATATGTACTGTGTAGTACTCACCTGTGAGTACAGGTAGTACATATGTGGTACTGTACACTAGGAGTACAGGTAGTACATGTGTAGTACTCACCTGTGAGTACAGGTAGTGCATGTGTAGTACTCACCTGTGAGTACAGGTAGTGCATGTGTAGTACTCACCTGTGAGTACAGGTAGTGCATGTGTAGTACTCACCTGTGAGTACAGGCAGTACATGTGTAGTACTCACCTGTGAGTACAGGTAGTAGCGTCCGTCCTGGGGCACTTTGAGCTTCCCATTGGTCAGACTCATGTTGTGGAGGTGGGACCCAAAGCTCTGATTGGCCCAGGAGCGCACCACATGACGACAGGACTGGTGCAGGCCGGGGGTGGGGCCTGTGGAAAGAGGATGAAGGGTTAAGAGATTTCTGTAGCCACACCTGCCCTGGGGCAGATGGATGAAAAAGAAGCTCCCAATCTGCAGCATTAACACACAGTCTTCACATTCATTGTAGGCAAGGTGGATGAAGTGTCTTGCCCAAGGACATGACAAAAGCATGCACCTACAGGGGAGTGGGCGAATGTCGTAACCACTAATCTTTGCTGTCAACTTAATAAAAAAAGATCTGACAAGACATGAGATTTGCCTGAGAAAGCCCTTTAAAACAAAGTTCAGATATTTGATATTCCTTTGGTCGTAATGGGGCAAAGACTTACAGGCAATCTGGCTGACATTTTGGAGTATTACAAATCAAGATCATATCATTGCATCCAAACAGTTAGTCTGGCTTTTTTCTTCCCAGTTTACGAAGATATGTTGTAACTCAAAAAGCACCAGAATTAAATTAAAGGCAAAGTGCATCTCATTTACGATTTCATGCTGGACACACTTTTGTTCTCTTCACAAGAAACAAACAAACCCAGAGGTCAAACCAAAAGCAGAACCAAAGAAACATGTGAATATTGAGCAACGATCCCCAGAGCTCCATAAACGTTTCCCTAGAAACAATAGACAACGCTCCGAAAAATATCCAGGGCAGCCATTTTGAATCAGAGCTGGAAAACCACTCCTCTGTCAAGATTCCTGCTCCTCTGTGGGGACTTTTACTGAGGACAATTTAGCCTTTTAATATGAAAATTGAACTGTTTTGTGTTAAAGTTTGGAAGCCATTTGACACAAAACACAAGGTAATTTTAGCTTTTTTGTGCAACAATTCGAAGTCTCCAACGCTGTTTTGTATCACCATGAGACAGCACAGAGCTTTGTGGGTGTAACTGTTGTGCGTGTCATTTATAATCATTTCAATTAAAAACATGTACAGAAATAAACCATGAACTATAAGAACTATCAGCACATTGTCACTATATTTTATATTTTAGGATCTGCACAATTTTGTCCGTCTGCACCAAAAGATTTATGACCATGGGGAAAAGCTTGAGTCGTAGCTAAAAGTCAAGTATTGTAGGCATAGACTGTATAGAAGTGGCCTAATGGAGTGTGACACCACCCATGGCATTCGGCTCCAGTCAAATTAAGCTCATAGAGGCTTGAAGTTATATATTTAGAGACAAGTTTCATATTAGAAATAGGAATTGATATATGGACAAAATGGTAAATAAAAACACCAGGGTCATGTAGAGCGGGAGCCTGACAGCAGCAGCAACAGAGGAAGAGGTGACGTTTTTTTCAATACCAAGTGAGCTGAGAGTTGATGGAGCTCATTTCCTTTTTGGATTGCAACAGCTAGAGGGTTAGCCATGTCCATTTATAGGCTATGGTCTCTATGGTTGTAGATCTCAGTAAGACCGGGACAAAGATTTCACATACGACCCAAGACAGCTGCGACTGATATTTTGGAATCTTGGTGCGGAGTGTGACATCCTCTCTGTGTCTATGATCAATGTTTGTTACTCACAGTAAACACAAGGGCTCCACAGTAACAGAAAAAGAGCTCCACTGTGAACGGAACCCTCTCTCCCTTTTTCCCTTTCATTTTCTAACTTTTAGAAACGCAGAAACACCGATAAAAAACAAACTGGTCTTTTCCATGACTGTGTGTTGAAGTACAGTTTAAACTCATGTTGTAGAGTGTGACATCCAACAATTTTTTTTAAAACAGAAAAAAATTTTTTTAAATCCTTTATCCATACTTTATTTTTGCACAGTTCTAATAATACTTGAACTAAAAATGACAAGATAATGAGGTCAGAATAAAAAATATAGAAAGTCAACTTGCTTCTTCTGGTAGAGAGTATGCCAATTGCTTTGCCTAAATGTTTAGACTTTATTTTCTAGCAATAAAAACACCTTCAACTGAATCAATGCAAGAAAAGTTTTAAGTAAAGTTGAAAGGTCAGTGAAATGTTATAAGGTGGAACATTCCAGGCAACGTGATAAGATCTCAGGTGGTGAGACCAGGTAAGAGATAAGTTACACAGAGTACCTTTCATTGTCATCTGCAGTCGTTTTGTCATCATAGACTTAATGTCTAAAAGGACCAACTTTAAAGAGCATATGATAGGTTTAACTTTTCATTTCACTAAAGCTAAATCATCAAAGTGATAGTTTTACCTTTAGTTCAGTAGTAACTGGCAATTCCAGGGCTGAAATGATCCATGCATAGATAGAAAATAGTGTAATACGGGCCCTTTAACGCAATAAATATTCCCCACATGTACTAACCCACTGAACTAAGTCATAATTAGAAAAACATGAAGTCATAATTATGCAGTTTAATGGTTAGTTTTAACTTCACATGTTTTTTCTGTCATCATAACTCCACATAATCCTTCAGAAGTCTCCTTTAACTCTATGAGCCTCTTCCTGTTCCTGTTCCTTCCCATTGTTGGTGTCCTTGGCGTTCCCTCACAGAAACAGAAGCAGCGCTGTGGAATATTTTCACAGCATTGGAACGCTTTAACATCGGGGCGTGTGCGATTCTGCGTTTATTTTGCATCGGGATCGGACTTTGGTATAACGCTCGGGTCAGAGGTTAAAGGTGAGGCGTCTTCCTTCCTCAAACAGAGAGGTGGTCCGTGATTGGAGCAGTGCGTTGCCAGATTGGTCGACACCCAGCGGTTTTGCACGCGAATCCCACATGAGACGAACAGAGTCAGAGTCTGTAAGTGAGGACAGGGCTCCACTGAGGACACAACTGTTACTAATATGAGCCTGTTTACTTGAAAAAGGAACAAAACTGCACATGTAACGTTTCTGGATGGGATTACGCCCTCTGCTTGTCCTGTCTTTGGGGATGTTATTGCTTTGCCTGGAATGTTCCACAATATGGCATTAAACTTGTCTTGTCAGCTTGCATTCATTAAAGGTCGTATATTTCGTAAAATTGACTCTTGTGAGCTTTAAATCACGTTATAATGTTGTTACTTCCTCGAAAACATACTCGAAGTTGTGTTTTGTTTCATTCACACATGTTTGAGTTTTATTATTAATCTGTCTACATCTCCAAAGCTCAAAATGCTCTGTTCCACCTTGTGATGTCATGACGCAGTAGTTTTAAAGTTAACAGCACCTTTTACCTTCTGTTCAGTAAAGATTGTTAATTCCAAAACTTAAATTAGCCAAATGATTCTAGTGAAGTTATATGGAGTTTAAAAACACAGTGGAGCACATCCTGTATTACCAAATGACATCACAAGGTGGAACGGAGTGTTATCTGTTTGTGAGAATATGCATTAAATGTATGAATGAAACAAAACTCCAAGTATGTTTTTGATGTTGTAGCAGCAGCAGCAGTAGTAGTAGTAGTAGTAGTAGTAGTGGTAGTAGTAGTGGCAGTAACAGTAGTAATGACAGTAGTAGTAGTAATGACAGTAGTAGTAGTAGTAGTAATGACAGTAGTAGTAGCAGTAGCAGTGGCAGTGGCAGTGGCAGTAGCAGTAGCAGTAGCAGTAGTAATAGTAGTAGTAATAATAGTAGTAATAGTTCAGACTAATTTTTAACTAGGTTTGTAAATCCAAACTCACCTGGAGAACTGGAGTCCCTCAGGGTCAAATGAGCCGAGGGCCGCTGTGGCACAGAGGTCACGAACTTTGACCCTGTGGAGTTGAAAGTGCGAGGCAAGGTCCGCGCCTCTGCAGGAGAAACAGGAAGTGCAAACGGACAGTGAGTAATTATAGTAATGATCTATAATTACAATGTCAAGTCATGGTTTTAAGTCTCACCTATAAAAGTCTGTTTGGAGACGATGTTTTCTGTGACCTGGAAGAGAAAGACAGAAAGAGAAAGAAAAGATCTGGTTAATGCTTGTGTGTAAATTTTAACTGCTTACAATGAGAGACTAAAATCCAAAAGCTCAAAGTTTCATGACCTGCTCTCGTTTTATAGAGATATACAGAGATAGGCCTATCACAATAGCACATTTTGGAGCACAGTCTATTGCTACAGAGAAATATTGTGATAAATAATAATATCAAAACCACTTTAGACCCTGTCACAAAGCAGGAAAATGCCTATAAACCTATTTTTAAATATACTGCATGATTAAAAGGCCTGAGTTGCAGCAAATAAACAGCAGAATCAGCAATAGAAGTTATTTATACTACTCTCTACAGCTCAGATCTTATCATAGTAAAGTAGAAAAGCGGCTAAAATCTTCCCACTATTGTAAAAAATTGTACACACGATAAATATTGAGAATCTAAATTATTGTTCCAGCTTTTATATATTGAACAATAAGTCAATATTGTAAATATCATAAAAGGCCAAGATAGAGGAACAGCTGATGATTGTTTCTGGTAAATATGGATTGTTTCTCGTAAATATAAGGGGGTAAATAAAACTGGGGGGGGGAGGTCTGGCACACATTATTTGTTGGGTTTTGACATTTCCCATGCCAAGCTGAAGCATATCCCCCTAAAAATTAGATTCAGAAACTTCTACTTAGGTAAAAAAAAAAAAAAAAAGTACAGATGGAATTAATATAAAAGTCCTATTACATTTTCTGTGAATTTCAGTTATTTCAGTTTTGTTTGTGGATCTGGAGTAAAAGCTGGTCCTGATTCATCTTAGAACGGTTGATTTGACTGAAAATAAGTTGGTTACAGACTTCTCTTTTATGTTTCACGTGTCCACGAGCAGTTTCCTTTTATCAGATGGTGGACAATAAGAAGTAAATAAAGAAAATTGTAGGGCCTGCTGCCTCTTATGGGATTATGTAATCTTACAGACTGTGTGATCCAAGTGCAATCATCTGCATTATTCAGGCATTTCCCAGGTCAGAGTGAATGTGTGAATGAAGCTCATCTCTCCAGGGTCTGCTCTGTTTTAAACACACACGCTCTCTCTCCGTCTTTCTGTCTCTATCTCTCACACTCGATCTGTCTCTCTCTCTCTGTTGTTCTCTCTGTCTCTCTCTTTTTTATCTCTCTCTATCTCTCCCTCTCTCTTGGTCTCTCTCTTTTTATCTCTCACTCTCTTGATCTCCCTCTCTCTCTCTCTCAGTCTCTCTTTCTCTCAGTCTCTCTTTCTCTCAGTCTCTCTTTCTCTCAGTCTCTCTCTCTCTCTCTCTGTGGCTCACTTTCTATTGGTCTCTCTCTCTCTCTCTCTCTCTCTGTGTGTCTCTCTCTCTATGTGTCTCTCTCTTGTGTCTCTCCCAGTCTCTCTCTGTCTCTTTACCTCTCTCTTTCTACCCTCTCTCTCTCTACCCTCTCTTTCTACCTCTCTCTCTACCCCTCTCTTTCTACCTCTCTCTTTCTATCCATGTCTACCCATCTCTGTCGTGCTATCTGTCTCTCTGTCTTTCTTACTCTGTCTCTTTCTTTGTCCCTCTCTCTCTGTCTCTCTTACTCCATCTCTCTCTTTCTCTCTGTCTTTCTTACTCTCTCTGTCTCTCTCTCTGTCCTTCTCGCTGTCCTTCTCGCTGTCTTTCTCGCTGTCCTTCTCGCTGTCCTTCTCCCTCTCTCTCTTCTCCTCTTCTGTCTCTCCGTCTCCCTCTGTCTCTGGAGAAGTCATTTGGACATTTAAGTCTTTTGGCTTTTTGTCACTGAGGCGTTCACTTCTCTTCACACTTCGGACACCAGACTTTACACTGTCTCTAACGTTTTCATAAAATTGTACTTTTCACAGTAGTTTTCAGACCCAGTATGTTTACTTCTACTTGAGTAATTTTATCTTGACTTGTACTGCACCCTCTATTTAAGCCTATGTCTATATCACCTTGTTGACAACATTACCTCTAATTAAGTCATTGATTGAGTCACCAAAAGTTCAGTGTGTAATGTTCCGTGCCTACAGCCGCCTCTGGTTTGACCCTTGACCCTGGTGTTATAAATCTCTCTGATTGGTTAGCTGCTGAAATGCCCAGAACAGGACCATAACTCATGTCCTCTGATTTGAATGGCCTCTCCGCTCCACACAGCTGTTTTTCTTGGCTTCCATTTTGTTTCCGTAGCGACAGATGCTAAAGCTAACGCGCTAATTGGACGCGATGGCTGCGGGTTTGCGGAGTGTGTGCGATTGGTCCCACCTGAGGCTCCGAGGAGGCACCGCGATACAGAGGAACGTGCGGTCGTGCTAAAGCTAATGAGCTGTATATGAATGTATGTATTTACACAAGGAGTGCTAAAAGATGAAGGGAAATTGGCAACAGATTTGAACCGGACTCAGAGAGTGGTTTACAATAAGTCTCAGCGTGCACATTAGGGAAAGCCAAGGTAAGTTGATTTGTAGAGCACATTTTCTTCTGTGCAATCCTTGTTAAACATGGTCAAAATATAATTCCAGCTTGAACTGATTCACAAATTCAATATTTGTACATGTACACTGAAATATAAATCACGTGAAACTGTATACACATTTGATAAAACATGTGTAACTTTTTTTTAAATTTATTTTTTAATTTTTGTAGAGAACAGAGTATTTGATACCTCAAAATATCAATATTTTGCCACCCAGAGCTAATACAAAAACTACTATTACTGCTACTGCTGTTACTACTACACTGCAGATTTATCTGATCTGGCCAAGATTTTAAAACTTATATCACTTTATTCATCTTATTTTCAGATTTATCATCTACTTACTCGTTCAGGGACTGCTTAAGTCTAGATAGTTTATTTTAAGTTAACTTGTCAAGTAAAATGACTTTGCAGCACAGACAAATAATTTAATTTTTAAGTCATTTTCTGATAGATGTCAATGTTTATATCTTAAATTTTGGCCAAGCTTTTTTGCAGTGTACTACTATTTCTTCTTGTGCTCAGGGGCAACAGTGGCTCAGTGGTACCACAGTAGTCCCCCAACCCAAATGTTGAACTAAGCTCTGTTGATGTCTTCTGAGGCAAGACAATACCCACATTGCCTAGTATGAAAGTGGTGTGTGTGATTCGTGATGGTTGGAGGGACAGATGGTCACAATGGTCACATTTTTATACAGCACTTCCATGATCAGGGCACTCAAAGGGCCTTACTTGAAGGAACCACTCACCCATTCACACACTATTGCATACAGACACTAGGAGCAAGGGAGGGTGCCCAAGAACACAGCATTCATCTGTTGAGCTGGAATTGCACCAACAACCTGTGGGTCTGACCGCTCAACCAATGATGTTTTTGTCAAGAGCAACATTCAAACCGCCAATCTTCAGATCAGTGGGCAAATGCTCTACCAACTGAGTCCAGTAGGGCTGGGTATCATTAAGACGCTGCCGATACAATACATATCTTGATACAGTGCACTTTTGATTCAATATGATATATTTCAAATCAATTTGTTCAATAAAAAACAATGGCTAAATCACAGCTGTGATACTAAGTCTTTTTTAAACCACTTCTTGTGCAAAGTTCAGATGAAACACACCCATTTTAATCAACAAAACAGTGGAAATGTCAAATGTGTTGCATAAACGTGTCTCCTTCCTCTAAACAAGCAACAAAATTGTCGTGCTGTAACAAAATAATTCAGTAAAATACACAAAAAAAAAAAAACTCTTGGCAATATATCGATACAGCTATCCCCGATACCGATAATGTATCCACACATTAAACGATACACTACTGTCCAGATGGTGCCAGAGATGGTAGTTTACCACCACTGTGGAATGAATACATCATATGTTGAACTACTATTACTCCTCCTCCTCTCCATTTTGTGCGGAATGGCCAATATCTCTGTTGTCATGACGTCATATGTGAGCACTCTCTTGGCTCCTGTTCGGCCTCACCTTCTGTTAAAGTGACACCTCTGAGTTTTGAGCCTTGAGTTTGTGTGTTTCCAATATTCAGCTGCCAAACGGCCTGCTCCGAAAAGCTCCATGGGGGAAAGCACGAATGGTTAGCGAATTAAATCATTGCTCTGGGCTGTGTGCATAACTTACAGTGCGCACAAAATGGCACAGCGACAGAGCCTTGTGTGCAGAGGAGGGGGTTAAATAAACGTGTGTGTCAGAATGAGTTACTCTGCCTTTCCTCGGCCCCCTCCTCTACCTCTCCCAGTCAAAAGCACCTGATATCAACAGTAAAAACACCAACATTTACAAGATCTGATAATGTTACAGCTCGGGTGCGTTGTATGTTAAAAACGATTTAATGAAGGGAGGTTTTACTTGGCGAGAGAAAGTGGTAAAGAAGAAATGGACACACCATTTGTTTGGATAAAGTTTCTGCTGTATTCCAACTGTACCAGATTTATTTAATTAAGTTAATGGTGTCGGGTATCAAGAGAAGTTACTGAATCAAATAATCATATGCGTATAAATCTGTATGATAGATAATGTAATAACATAACGTGTGTAATAGTAGCCTTATTTTGAACAGTTTGCAGTGGTCCAAAGTTATTTCTGACTGCATTCAGAGCATTCTAATTATTCACAATGATGAGTTTACGAATGATTTCCACGAACAACAACTTAGCTAGCATGCTAAAGTGCACTTCCTGATTCTCAGACAATAAAAAGCTTTCAATTACATCAATTAAAGCTGCTTATAATATCTATACTAAGGCAAGACATATTTGTTTAAAAATATGGGAAAAAATCTGGTACAAGGCCTTTACTATAACAAATTGCATTATGGTCCATAGCCTATAGCTTTATAACACATATGCGAGAACGGGGTCTTGCTCAAGGACACAACAACAGTAGACCCTGATCAGATGCTGGGATACAACCGCCAACTTTTTGCATGTAAGACAACCTCTCTACACCACCAAAACTCTATGCAAAGTCATAAAAAGCTAGTTGTAGCAATAAAAAATGCAAGAC